ACATCTGCTGAATTTGGACAATAGTGTGTAAGTGAAACAGGAAACTGTAGGAAGAGGAAGGATTAGGGCAGCCAATTGCTGCCCTGAGGACCTGGCAGCTCTTCTGCCCTGCTGGGTGAAGGCATGAACCGGAATTGTTCATGTTCACTAAGGGTTGCTCACTAAGAATGTGTGCACGCACCCCTTTTCTGAATGCTCATCTGCACGGCCTTGCACTAGGTCTGCAGAAATGCAGGAAACTCAGTCACCGAAAGGAAGGAATGGAGGGTTTTTAAGCTTAGTGTTTACCAGCCTCAGTTTAGTCCATACAACGTGGACCAACATCTCTGAGTTTTTCAACAAGAGACTTGCAAAAGACAGAGGTATCACAGGGATGGAGGGCACAGAAAAGCTCAAGGATAATCTAATAAACTTAGGCTGCAAGGTACTGTTTAAAGAGTGGATTGCAGCAAGGTCTTGAGATACACTCACATTGAAAATGAGAGAATTTAGACCAAATGCTGGCTCAGAGCAACCTTCTTCCACTACAGCTGTGTCTTGCTCACTAAAGAATGAGAAGGAGAGTCACTGGAGCATCACAGACCTACAAGACAGTCAGAACCATCTGCAGTTCAGGTTGCTACACTAGCTGAGGAAGGGAGTGTTTTGTTTAGCTGTAGCCAGGGTTACAGTCACCTATAACTGCACGTTTCCGTTTTGGAGCATCGGTGGGGTAACACAGATTTCCTTGATGCCACAGGCCTGTTAAAACACAATACAGTTATTTAGTGCACTGGTGACATAGTGCTCTCCGGCATGGCAGGGCCCGTGTGGGCCAGCGTGCGAAGTGAAGTGTCACCAGAGGTTTATGGGAGGAAGGAGTCCTGCTGCTCGCCTACTTAGGAAGGCAATTGGGTAAGAGGTGTTTGACTCTCAGTTGCCTAAGCACAAAGAGACCTACATTCTCCACACATGGAAACAACTAGCCCCAAGAGGGCCTGTGTGAAAGCCCCACAGATTTGAGGGCAAACCACCCAGCGCCTACAGCACTGAGTTTCTGTTTTACATGGGGGGGTGAATTTACTTCAGTTTGGGATCTCCGGCTGGAATTAGCCAAAGCCTTAAAAGACACAAAAAAATGACCAGCCTGGTTTGTGGCTTCTGCCTTTACTCCATGCAGGTCCAAGCTTGCTGCAGAGCTCTGATGAGGTAACCTGCCAAAGCACAGGGTGAAGGATACAGTAAGTAGAATATAACGACTTTATTACAGTAATGATCCAGCCAGGCAATGAAATTGCTGCAAGTGGTTAGTTCTTTTCAGTATCTTTAAAGGACAACTCCTTGAGCAGGTGCAAGAGAGTGGGCGTAGGCTTTGCCCCACTGATGTCAGTGGGAACGCCCAGTTCCTTTTGAAGCAGCTCCTGTGTGGAAATGCTCCTCTGCTCCCCTCCTGGGACCGTGTGAATTCTCAACAATCTGAGCTGCCGTTTAGCTGCAGAGGTGACTGATTTACACAAAACCGGATAGCAAGAACTTCCTGAGATGACCCTGTTTTGTGAGGAGATTCTAATCTCATGACAAGTTTGTCTAGCCAGATAATGACAGTAATTAGCCAGGAGGCAAGAAGGTGGATCTAGGTATTCTGCTTCATGAGTAAGAAGGATGTTTTATGGGAGTGGAATTAGGAGGAGAATGGAAACTGCTAATATCCTCCAAAACGGAGTTGGAACAAAAAACACGGTGCTGAGGGCTGCTCTTGGGACTCCCCAGCCTGCTCTCCTCCCAGCATGGAGACACTCAGCAAGGAAGAGGTCCTTTTCCAAAACGAGCCACTGCTGAGCTCGTGCTGCCACTTAATATCAGCAGCATCACCTTTGTCATTCCTCCTGCTGCACAACCCAGTTGGAATGAAACATGGAATGGGGGACAAAGAGGACTAGCGCAATAAATAAATAAATGCCAGCATTTCAGATACTCGATACAATTTGCAGTGGATAAATGAGTAAACAGAAGAGGCAGGCTCTCGGAAAATACCATACTCCTTCTAGGATACAATAAACTGAAAAATATCCCTGCAGTTCCTGTGCAGCTTGGTAGGGGCTTGCCTGCTGCAGCAAGGGCACATTATCACCTGTCCTTATCTCTTGTCGTTTCCATTCAAATATTTGCAAAGTGGTAACATACGAGGTAGATAAGAACCCACAGGAATGGAGAGAATAGAGTACTTAATTCACAAGTGTATGGATTTTTTTCTCCTGGAAAAAAAAAGGTCTTTATAAAGCAAAGGTGAGATGTTCCTTGCAAACAGGTAGCTCTGGTGGTATCAAGTGATACGCTTTTTTCTTTCTGGGGTGCTGCCAGACACCCTGAAATGATAGAGTGGAGAGGAATGTGAGATTTCCCCCTTTCATCATAATGGTTACTTTGAAGCCTAATTACAGCCATTTAAACAGCAGCCTATTAGCCATGCTACTGCTGATGGCTGCACCGAAATGCACAGCCTGATGGGAGCTGGCTGGGCAGCTCACACATGGCACTGCAGCTTGGAAAGGGCAGGGAGCAGCGACAGCTCCGGGGCCCGGCAGCCTCTGCCATGCCTGCTCCAGGGCTCTGAGCAGGGCAGGAGTGCCAGGGGATGCACTGCAGTGGGACCCAAGTGAGGTGACACTTCATATGCCATGAAGGCCAGTGCCAGGCAGGAGCTTGGCCACTGCTCCTCAGAAACTCCGCAGTCCAGGGTTGTGTCAAAGGATGGTTACATGAAACCAAGAGACACCACAACACCTGTGGCTCTCCCTGAAAGCCAAGCACCAAGAGCCCCTGCTGATAGACACTCATTAACCTGATCCCCACCACTACTGTAGCTGTGACAATCACAAGGCCTGGTCACATTTGGTGCTGCATTTCACTTGCAAGACTTCTCCTCTCCAATATGTTTCACATTTTTGTCTCTGTGCACTCCAAAAAACAGGCAGCTTGGCTTAAATCTTGAGTGTCCAAGCACTTTGCCTTTTCCTGAGAGAACTGTGAGTGGTAACCCAACTCTAAAATAAAGGCCTAGCACAATGGTGTTCCTCCAACAGTGGCGAAGGAGCAGAGAGCTGAGAACACCGACTCTGTTACAACCTCATCTTCTAATATGAGTTATACCAATTTCTGCACAGTTCCTCATGTGCTTTTCACAGGTGGGCCACCCGGCACAAGGGAGGTACTCACCTGGTATAACTGGAACACCTGTTTCTACTTTAAGGGGGACGTTCATGAGCTGGAGATCTGACACTAATGCAGTTGTTGTGCATCTGGTCACACTGTGAGGTAAGTGAAACCAGCACGGTGCTACTTTACTTGTTTGGTTATAAACTGTGGCAGTTCAGCTGCTTCGTGACCGACCGAGACACCCCTGCAGCGGAGGCGGGATCCTCTGAGGGCTGGAGCAGGGAGCTCGGGCAGGAATAACAACAGCTGTCCCAATACAAAGTGTTCCCACTTGTGAATCAAAGCCCTTACTAAGATCCTGTCATGTCCAGACATGTTTAATTCTTATTCTTGCAGACATAATATGAAGGCAAGGATCCATCCTTTTTCAAGTGCATCTTTTTTTTTTCCTTTTTGCAATGGGAGAGGAAGGCAAAGCGAAACATGCACTTGCTGAAAGGTTGGAAACAGGAAGTTCTGTTTGATTTGCACATTCCCTGTTTCTGATGAAAAGTAGGAAATATAAATCACAGCCTTTTATTTCAAATTTGGCACAAAAATTTGCCTTCGAGGTAATGTCAAATAACAGACTTCACACTGCTTCGAATTAGGCTGATGAGGAGTACAAGGCAAAGGCTCAGTTCTGGGAGCGTTTCATTTAGTTACATTTCCCCATTCAAATCTCATCTTTGAGAAGCCCATAAAAATAGCAGTAGTAAGGTAATAAATAATAGCTATTTTACATAATTTTTACCTATAAAATGCATCTTCCCTCTTAGTCCCTCACATCATCCTAGGGCTGGGGAAAAGCACTTAATTGAAATATTTCTATGGAAAGAAAACAAACTTTTTTTTAAATTATTGTTTTCTCCTGTTTTCCTTTCCTCCCCTTATATAGTTTGGCCTTTAATCTTTTCTCGTCTCCTGCTACTTCCACCTAGGAACACTTCTGGTTATACTGGAAATTCAGACAAAGACATTTAGCAATCCAGAAAAAAGCATCAAGTGACTTTACGTTTTAAATGTGAAAGAACAAAATCAACTTGAACAATTCAATGGACCCATAATGAGTCCAACAGACCCATCAGGCCCTATGTCAGGCGCATGCACAGAAGTTTTCCTGAAAAAAGTGGATTTTGTTAGAGGTGTTATTTTTTTCACTACAGTTATTCTGGTCAAAACTGCATCTCATTTATCTGACTCATCCACAGACACAGAGGGATTCCACAGCAAACTGACACTTCCCACATCTAGTGGGAGGAAAAGAGGCTACACGGACTTACCTGAGAAAGGAGAATTTACAAGCTTGCAAGTCGTGACCACCTAGATATGTCCTCATCCCCACTGGGATCATAGATAAAGTTTTATTTTACTCTGCCCTTGAGAGCGGTTGTGCACGAGCAGCACCTGAGCATAACTGACTCTGTTGTTCTCCTTTTGTCACTTTGGGAGCAGTGCTCCCTCCAGAGTGGACTGCTCCTGCCACGTGAAGTTAAATCCCTGCTTTATTCCCTGCACGCCTGATGTTTGTGCAATGACAAGGAGTAACTGGGCTTCACATAAAAACTTCATGCCATCACTCCAAATGTGGATTTAAAAGCAAGTACTTCACATTACTGCTCTTAAGTTTCCACTTCATGACTGTCACTGTGTTGCATATTTATTTAGGAATCTATAGTGTTGCAGACAGGGAAAAAGCCCAGAGACCTGATCACCTGCTGTCTTGAGAATGGCTATGAATGACTTCATGGACCTGAGGTGAGAAACTGCTTTGCAATGTGACCTGAACCCCCTTGGAGGAGCTGCAAACTATCAGGAAGCCTTACCCCATAAAATCAGTCTTGTACCGCATATGAAGTGCTGTATTCTGGTTATTCTGCTCACGTTCAAAGGCATCTCATTTCAACTATCTCCATCCTCCAAGCTGAAAAAGAAATATTGGATTTAATCTTGAGGGACAGGGCCTATACAAGTTCTATCTAACTACTAACAGCACTTAGGATCAGTGGTTTCTAAAGCCAAAATGGAGCTGATGTGTGGCTGCACTATTCTAAAGATCAGACTAGTAGTTCTTCCGGATCTGCCCCATCTTCTGAACACAGCACTGGTAACAAAGTGCCTCCTCTCTGAAGCAGCTCAGGAATTTTGATCTGATTTGGTTTTTCAAAACTTCACAAACATGTAAGCGCAGACCTGTTTTGGAAGATACACACAAACGTCCCTGTCCAGCAAGCTGAAACAGAACAATTCCCAGGATTTCAGTAAAACCTTGTAACAATCACCATGTAATTGCAGGAAGGTTTGGGGCCAGTAAAGGAGCATTTCCTGAGGTTAATTCCAAACAAGCTGTTCTTTGAGCAGTGGAATTAATGAGTCCTAGTTCACTGGGCACATCTATCCTTTGTCCCTTAATCTCCTCACCACAAAAACCTCTGCCCCTGTGTCAAATGTAGATGAAATTTGTCGGTGCCTTCAAAAGTTATTAAAAGGAGACTGATAAATGATGCGACAGATAATACACTTGTGCAGGCTCTCCTCCTCCAGAATCCAAGCTCAAAATGACCTGCACAGCTTCTGCCCAGCCCAGCAATTACCATTGCTCACAGTAAATAGCAACACAATATAAACAACGTAAATTCATTTGCATGCAAATATGACACTGGTGTTCCATGCACAAGCATAATTTATGTTGTTGGGGCTATAATAATTCCCTGATTGATTTTAATAACTATTCCTCTTAGTGATACAGGATCTAAGGCTCCAGGGAGAACTTCCAGTACCCAAAGGGGCTACAAGAGAGCTGGAGAGGGACTTTGGAAAAGGTATGTAGTGACAGGACACGAGATGCTGTCCCTGCCCATGGTAGGGGTTGAAACCTTGTGAGCTTTAAGGTCCCTTCCAACTCAAACCATTCTGGAATTCTATGATGACTGCTAAGCCTAACAAAGGAGATTACAGACAAAGAGGAAAGGGTGAGACAAGTTTTAGAATCAAATACCAGAAGAATTCCCGAATCTGGCCATCTGTAAATAACACAGTGAAACTGCTGTCACCAGCAGCATATGGGTCTTCCCTCCTCTCATACCCAGGCATTGTATGAACAGCTAAGTGAGAGGGAATCATCCAGAAATTGTTCCCTCAGTGAAACTTCAACTAGAAGAAACCCACCCAAACCGAGATATTTTCTGAAGAATTTGCCCAACTCCTGTGCAGGAAACATGTAGTTCATCAGCATACAGTACAAGTATGTGGTTAGGGAGTAACTTTAATGACCTGGCTTGGCAGACCCACAAAAGCCTGAACATCTCTGAAAAGGTTGACTTCTAAGCTCTGATTCCATTTCCTGAATGGGAAATCACCCTTTTGCGTTTCTGTTCTCCTGGTGGTTGCTCAGAGGGCTTTTTTCACTGGATTTGTTTTTAAAAAGCCTGTGTGTTCACACTTCCCTTTTAACGTGTATCTATGAACTCTCATCTACGCACTGCTGTGGAAATGGTTGCCAAGAACGAAGAACTGTGACTTCAAGGAGGAAACACAAAAAGGCAGATGTCCATCAGCCTGGCCACTCCTGTCATCATTACACAAGCAAATTGCCAACACTTATGCCATGGTTTCAGAGTTCTGGACCGAGATTCTACAGCTGAAGTTGCTGAATTTCAAAAGGCTGACTTAAAAGTGCATTCCTAGCTCCATCCAAGTTCTTGAGCTAAGCAATATGACCCCTTACATTCCATATGAAGACCCTGGGGTTTTGTTCTACTTGACTCTAGCCAAAGGCTGGTATGACTGATCACCTCCCTGCTGCTCATGTTAGCAGAAACTTCTGCCCACGTCCAAGTACAGGCTAATCTTGGGGCTGGGCACGGTGCAGCTGGCCTTGGCCTTTCCTGCTCTAAGTCCCTGTCCCATGCTGAGCCAAAGCTCTTTGTTTAAATTTAGATTTCCTGAGGCTTTGGTGTGTGTGTGCTCCACCTGCCAAAGAGAATGCAAGCAAAATTTGATTCCCAGTACCCGGTATTGCTGCCCTAACACAGATCAGCCGGTGTGCATTCACAGTTACAGCAAGTGGGGCCATTTGTCCTCCTCCGAGTCCTTTGCTGGCTTAGGTGTTGTATTTCCCTTTTCCTGTCACCATGCAAAGCTTCATTTTGATGGTTTAGGTAAAGACATGCCAGAATAAAGGGGCTGCTTTCATGAACAGCTCACAGTGCCCAGGTGGGAAGAGCCACGAGTGCTTGAGAGGATGAAGGTAAAGAAATATTCAGATTTATCAAAAGGAAGAGTACAAGGTGAGGAATGTTGATGTTGAGCATTTGCCCCCGTGCAAGCACTTAGGTGTGTTTACACAGGGGGAGACAGTCTTCCCAGTGCAAGAGAACAAAAAGGGCAGTTCTAAGGATATGGATACAAAACCAGCCCTTGGAAGCACAGGTAATCTGTTCCTGTTCCTCAGTACAGCTTCTGAGCAACAGCCTCCTTGCCACACATCAGGTGTGTTTCTTAGCACTTACACCTCTCTCCACTCTCATCCTTTTCCTCTTCCAGGAAAGAGCTTACAGGACAGAGATCATTAATCTCATTTTACAGACACAGAAACCGAGGCAACAAGGAAGCTTAAACCCTGAGTAATAAAACCCATGCCAGCCAGTGAGCCTGGCAGTTGCATTTCTCCCCCTGCTGAAGGTTTCTGTGCATGGAAAACCACAAGCATGAACAAGAAGCACTCTCCTCCCAGGTCCCAGGAGAGAGGATGCTTGGATTTCTCACTCCCAGAGGATGGTGCAACCCAAAGGCACATGGAGACCCAGTAGCCTTTGGAAGAAGCCTAAGTTAATGAAGTTAGCTCTATCTGTGATCTTTATCTAAGTCACTCTGATCTCCCCACACAGCTGCAGGGCCAGGACAGCCCTGTCTGCAGGGATGCTCCGGGGATGAGCCCCCAGCTGCCAGCCAGTGGAGAGCAGGGGGCAGGGGTGTGTCTGCCAGTGCAGCCTTGGCACAGCTGGCCCCACTCCCTGGCCCCAACCAAACACCAAACCACGATGGACTTGCAGGCCTTACAAAAGGAAACATCACTGTCACCGGGTCAGACGACAAGTCAAGAGGGCTGAAAAGTTCAGCTTCTCTCCATTTCCCTATTCCCCTTTGTTCAAAGAGTCTTCATGCTTACATATTCAAAATCCTGATGTTTTTGCAGTTGCCATTGCAAATGCAGTTTCTGCGGATTCACAAACTTCCATTTTTCCAAAGAAAACAAGAACTGATTAGTTTTGGAAAATAAAACAGATTTTTTTTTTTCCCTTCTGAGCTTTTACCTAACAAAGCAAACTATGCCACTGGATCTCCCTGTTGGACTTTCTTTAATTGAATAACAGAGCAGATCCTCATTGAACTCCATCAGCCCCAGTACACCCCTGAGGGCAATGTCCCCCAGTGTGCACTGCCAATCCCCCTGCAAGGTACAGCACAGGAACACAGGACTTTAGGGACCTTATGACTGCTTAGGTCAGAGAGGATAACAAGGAGGCAAACAGTGCTTATAAAGCAGTGTACTGCTGTGGGAAAACCTGGCTTAATATTGACCTGACTTACACTGAAGTGTTTCCTGTTGGGGTAAGCAGCGGTCTGAGTCTAGAGAGGCTGTGCAGCTGAGAGAGAATGACTTGCCTCCGAAAGCTGCAGCCAATGGAAACAAGTGGGTTTGTACAAATGGGGCTTCAAGAGATGATTGTAACAAAAACCTGAGATAGCACCTAACAGGCAGAAGTACAAACACACAGGCAAGCACCTATATAGGGATGCAAGAGCTGATGGAAAAATCAAGATGGAAAAATGTGGTTTCTTCAGGCTCAAGTGAGGGAGAAGCAGCTCTTGTCTTTCCTGTGTTAACAGTGCTGAGCTGTGCCTTGCAGCATGTCCCAGCTGAGGATCCATGGAGCAGCTCAGCCAGCATGCTTAACCAGATTTTCCACCACACCTTTGGGCTGCAGCACGCTGTCATTATATCATGCATGCCTGAAATATCTCAGTGAAGCTGGGATAAAAGAACCAAGGGACCTGTTTCTGACTTTGGCCGGAGCCAGGAACAGCTCTGTGTGGCTCCTGGGGGGCTGTTCTGGAGGGGTGAGGCCAGCCAGTCCCCCAGCACCTACCTGCTGTCTCTCTGTAAGCAAGACCCAGCATCTTGGCAGAAGGGCTGAACCATCGCAGGGCAGGAAAGTGTCCACATTGTTATGGGGCACACGAGGCCTTTCCTTCGCTGGGTTCAGCCTGTGACACAGAGAGTCAAGTCTGCAGCCACGTGTGGGCCAGAGCACGCGAGCATCGAGATACACAGGTGCTCCTGGAATTCCCTTGCAGACAGACTGCAGGGCCAGAAAGAGAAAAAAACCCACAACCCAGACAACTGCAGAGTCCTTGGCCAGTGCAGAATCTGCTGGGCTCCGGGAAGTGAAACAGCAGGAAAAACATGGTGACTTGTGCGCAGCTTGAGAGTTGGCCTTCAGCAGCGATGGGTACCTGCACACCTCGGGAAGTCCCGCGGAAGCCAAGCTCCTGTACACACACCTGTATTAAAAAAAGATCCCATGGCCTCCCTGCTCCATCACCCATGTTCTGAATGGCCCCTCGCTTCACAACAGTTTTCAATAACTTCTGAAAAGTTTTGGCTTCTTCACATTCATGGAGAAAAGGGCTGGGGCTTTTGCAGCTTATTTTTTGCCCAGCCTCAGCTTCAATTATTAACTTGTCTTATTCTCCTAAGACCCACACAGCCTCCTCAATAGAAGAGCATAAGTGTTTCTATAGGATGGGCCCTGTCATTTATATCAGGAGATCATGTCTTGCACTTTCCTCATTCCTTTGTCCTGAGTAATACCTTCTCCTGCAAATAGAAAAGGGAGGGAGGGAAAAAAGGAAGTCAAGCAACTCCTTCACTGCCTCACAATATGTTAATATCCCCTGAATACTTCTTTGGGGCTAGTTTGAGCCCAATCCAATGGCTTTGCTTGACCAGGACCAAAGCCTTATTTCAGCCTGCAGCTGGGTTGACACAGTGCCTTTGATCTCCTTGCAGGACGTTCGGACCACTTGTAGCTGTCTGGCTGCAGCACTGTAAGAAAGAGCCTGGCTGATTAGTTCAACCCTTAGAGTAGAGGAAGCTCAGGCAGCACCTCAGCAACACTGACACATCCAGGTTAGTCCAGCATCAACTACGTGTTTTGGCATCTCCAGGTAGAACTTGCTGGTGCACAATGCACCATTCTTCTCCCATTCCCAAGTTGAAGCCAGTAAAAAAGCCCAACTTCTGGGTTGCACTAGAGCAGCCTTGTGCTGACAGAGGTATCATTCCTGACTCTGCCTATCTCTGCAGTCTCCACTTCTCCACTACCATACTCCCTTTCTGTGGGCTGGCTTTACAGTGCCTGTTTCTGCTCCACCTCAGATGTACTTGTCAGGTGGCTTCACCAAGACCCTACCAACTCTACTGCTGCTTTCCTTGCTTTTCAGTGGCATCCAGCCCTGGCTCAGAGTCTTGACCTATTTCCTCCACACCCAGACTCATGGCAGTTCCTCACTGTCTCCTGCTGAAACCAAGAGCCCACTATATCCTGCTTCTGTCCTCCCAGCAGGGCTTGTTCCTCTCACTCACCACATTCCAAGAGCATACCTTAAAAAACCCCAGGGATTTGCACACAGACCCAATCCCAGGAGAAACAAAGAACAAACAAACATCAGGACTCAGTACATTGCAAACTGCCCAGGTAAACCCAAAAAGGAGTGCAGTTATCTACCTGTACTTTCCTGCCTCCCCAACAGAGAACAAGAACTTAATGGAAATTTGACACTCTTTGTTATTAAGAGCAGTGGCCACTTCATTAGTTATGCTGTATATTTAGTTCCTAATGCATATCTGTTAAGCACTTATGCTGGAGGTGAGCAGAGCTGCCAGATCTTGCAGCCTCTCAAGTGGTGAAGACAGTGAGTTCACAGGAGGTGACGGGACCAGATCCACAACTGCAGAGCAGCATTATCAGAAGCCTTCAGCACGGGCCCAACTCTGCCCTGTGGAGATCAGTGGGGAAACACCACAGTTAGTGACTTCAGGGTGCACTCTCGGCTTCGGAAAACAATCCGTAGATTTCAGCAGGATTTCTGATGTCACTCGTGAAACTGGGACCGAATGATGTGGATACGCTGCACCTGCATTTTGCCTTAAAGGATCCCAAACTATTTATAGTCCCTTGCATTTTACTTTGAGGCGTGTTTGGGTGGATAAGCAGCAAGGACAAAGCCATATACCTGTGTCACCTTACTGCAAACAAAGATACCTTCAGTAATGTGCAGCGTGGAGGGAATGAGTGGGCAGGTACCCGCACACACATGTTTTGTGTCCTGTCCACACTGGGCAGCCTGGAGAACTCTCACCTCCCAGTGGATGTTCTCCTGCCACCTCAGCCAAGCGAAAACACCCCCAAAGACAAAACTCCAGGTCAAATAAAATGCCTTCTTTTATTTGGAACAAAATACTCTGTTTCTGTGAGTGATTTTTTCATTTTACAAGAAATGAAAAAAACAACATTTAAAAAACGAATAATCATTCTTAAAGTAAATGAAATATTTCTGGATTGAAAAGGGTGAAATTAGACCTTATTGCAACACTTCTTTTTTCCTGGACTAACTTCACAGATTTGCTAGACAGGTATTGAGACCAGAAGAAAGAAAAGCAGTATGGTCCCCAATAAACCTCCCAGCTGCAATCACACTGTCAGACCAGCAGCCAGGTACTTTACTAATAACCCTCACTGCTGATCCTAGGGCAGAATTTCCCCTACAGAGTCTCCCCATGTGAGATTATATGTTAATCAAAGGAAAACAACCCAAGTATTAAACGGTGTTTCTTTACCTCTAAAACAAACACACAAGCCTTCAGATCACACCCATTGTTTCACATACCTGAACGTTCTCACGTGAACTGCAGTATCTCCTGCAGCTGCTGGCAGCAGGGAGGTCACTCGGGGTCCCTCTGCTAACCCTGAGCTGCACAGCACACTGGCTGTGCTCCCTACGGGGCTCGTGGCTGTCCCATCTCACTAAACTTCCTCATTTTGCACCAGGTCCCACCACTGAGAAAAGGCGAGAAATCCCAGATGGTACCTCTGATATTGTACAGCAAAGGAAAAACCAAGCAAGAAGCCCCTAAGCCCCTCCTTCTACACCACAGGCTTTCCAGAGTGGTTCTGAACCACCTCTGAGATCCCTCTACCTTCAACATCCAAACAGCTGCTCTTACAGCAAAGGCCATTCTGAAAGGTGCCCTGGCTCACAGACATGCCCTAATATGACAATGGAGAGAGAGATTTTGTTTGTTATTTACACCAAAGGACTATGAAAAACCAGATGGGGAAAAGTCACCTCTGTGTCTGTTAACTGAGGCAAAGTGACAGTTAGAACAGACAGTGCAGGACACAATAGGTCCCACTAATTCCCGGGGTTTCCGTAGTTTGTTCCTCCTCTGCTGCTGGGAAATGGTGTCCAGTTAGAATATGAGGCCTCTGGATATTTGCTCAGGATTTCTAGATGTCCTCCAGATGAGCCAGGGCATTAGCTCTTCAGAAATCACAGCCATGGCTGCAACACACATACAAACCATCAGCCAGATTACCCATTTCTGAGTCGCTGTGAGAGACGGTACCTATTTTATTTATGTGGCTCTCATTTGGGTGCCGGCTGGAGTCCCTGGAAGCACAGCCCTTTACTGGGTACTTGCAGAGAGCAGGGACCAAGAGAGAAGCTGGGGATCCTGCCTCTAATGATGCCTGAAAGGAAGAGGAATGGTTCAGCAGCAGTGCAGAACACTGGGCTAAAGAGCCTACACCAGTCAGTGTCTGCCATCATGTGTCTCAGGGTCTTCTTTAGGGAAGTTGTACTTTGATCTTTGCAGTCAGTGCCTTTCACTGGAGTTCTCCTTTCACTGGCTCTTTGATTTTAAAGCCATTTATATTCCAAGCCAATCAGTACTAAAAATAGGATTCCTTACTAAGAATGGCACTGGCATTACTCACTTTGTGCTCTGTTCTCATCTCACGCTCCGTTTCCACACCTCCGGCTGGAGGAGTGTGCTGCAGTAAAATCATCCACAACTATGTGCTTCTGAGAGCAGGTTTTGAACCTTTGCCATCCTTTGGAAGCTCCCACTGCTTTTTCTTTCATGTGCTAATACAGTTCACTGGCTTATCTCCTTTCACATCCTTGGGGCACACCTCTTCCAGACTGTATACTGACAATCCAACCAAGTGGGAAAAACACACAGGAGATAGAGCCATCCCCTTCCTCCCCCTTGCAGTTTGGGCCAACCTGCAGCTCTCAGCTGAAAGGGATGCTGTTCTTACTTGCACTCAGGAAGAAACAAGTTGCTCTCCCTGGAAGCTACTGCATCCTTTGGCTTTGACCATCAGCTGCTCCCCTCCAAGTGCTCATCAGTTACTAGCAAGGAGGCTTTCAGGCTTACCTAGTGGGAGGGACACTTTTCCAGCTCCGTTTCAGGGATGCTGAGCATTTCTGCAGGGTATCACTCCTCCTCAACATGCCTGCAAACCAAAGTGTGTGGGAGGTGGGACATACCTCTGGTCAGGTCTAGCTTTGTGCCTGAATGAATCCTATATGGGGCTTTGGGGTTTTTTTCCCAGCTTTCTCTTGAGTTTTGCACATCACTTTCAAGTGTAAGAACGTGTTTCCTCCTGCCATCCATGTCAGAAGTGCAGCCAGTGCCAGAGCTGACTGTCACTTATTTGCTCTGATAAGGGGTTAAATATGCACAGGTAAACCTGGGCGTATGTTCATAATGCAGGTGGCAGTGATACTTTAAAGGAGGCACCTTTCTTTGTTCCCTTAATGATTCATTCATTGGGAGTGTGGGAATTAACCTATATAAATTTTTGCTACTAAGGAGATACACCTAGATCCTGAAATAGTGGATGGGTGAGAACCAGTTGCAGGGACTCTGCACCTTGTCCTGGTAGCACAGAAAGAAACAAACCCACAGTGGTAGGCTGGAAATAGATGACTGCATGGCACTTCCCATGGCAAATTCTCTTTACCTCCTGTTTTCCAGTGACTCACTAAAAATCCTACAGGACTGCAGAAGACGCCTCTGAGAAAGGCCTGACTTGACTGAGACCTTCACTGGGACTCTCTCTTCTGGAGGCTAAACTCTGACAGCTGGAATTCTAACCAATATGGCTCAGACCAGGCAGTGAGCAGAGGCAGCCAGACTTTGGTTGCACCAGCACTGGGAGGCAGGTGTGGGATTGCATCAGGAAGACAATATGAACAGGGAGGTTGGCT